CTCTTGAACCGCCGTATTGTAGGCGAACGTGACGTAGGGCAACACCTCGTCCCACGTCTTGTGCTCTACGTAGACGTACATAGAGATCATATCGGCGATCGTCTTGTTGAGTCGCTCGGTCAGCCCGTTGGTCTGCGGGTGGTATGCAGTGGTTCGACGATGGCCGGTGCCACTGAGACGATCTCTTGCGTCAGCTGGGCCATGAACGAAGATCCGCGATCTGTAATCAGAACTTCGGGAGCGCCGTGCCGGAGGACGATGGACTCGATGAAAAACTTAGCGACTTCCACAGCACTCCCTGAAGGAAGAGCTTTCGTTTCGGCGTGCCGCGTGAGATAATCTGTGGCGACGATGATCCAGCGGCTCCCCGACATCGAAGGCGGAAAAGGACCAAGTAGATCCATTCCGATTTGCTGGAAGGGTGTAGTTGGAGCAGAAATGGGCTGCAGAAGTCCGGCCGGCCTCGTCGGCGGTTTCTTGCGTCGCTGGCACTCGTGGCATGATCGTGTGTATAGGTGGACGGTCTTGGGGAGCTTCGGCCAGTAATACTTTTCACGAATACGGGCCAGTGTCCGGCTGTAACCAAGGTGTCCGGATGTCGGGTCGTCGTGGCAGGCTTGGAAGATCTCCTCTTGAAGGTCACTCGGGATTACCAGCAACCACGGTGTGTTGTTGTCGCCGAGGTTCTCTTTGTAGAGTACACCTTGTCGGATGGCGAAGGTCGGCAGTACTCGTGAGAAGACACGTGGCACGGTACTCCTGCCCCCTTCCAGGTGCTCGATTAATGCGCGCAGCTCAGGATCGTCCCGTTGACGTCGTGCCATATCGTCGGTGTTCACTGCTCCTAAAAAGCACTCGTCGTCATTGTCGTCGCTGCAGCCGGAAGGAGTTTCGACGGGGGCTCTGGACAGGCAGTCGGCGTCGCTGTGCTTGCGGCCTGACTTATAGACCACTGTCATGTTGAACTCTTGTAGTCGAAGACTCCATCGAGCGAGGCGTCCTGACGGGTCCTTCAGGTTCGCGAGCCAGCAGAGCGAGTGGTGGTCCGTGACTACACGGAACGGGCTCCCGTACAAGTACGGACGAAACTTCGTTATTGCCCAGACGACCGCAAGGCATTCTTTCTCAGTCGTGGAGTAATTTTTCTCCGCCTTGGACAATGTCCGACTTGCGTAGGCGATGACTCGCTCGATGCCTTCTTGCACTTGGACTAGTACTGCGCCCAGTCCCGCGTTACTTGCGTCCGTGTGAATTTCTGTTTCCGCATCCTGGTCGAACTGTCCAAGCACAGGAGGAGTCTGGAGTCGTCGTTTCAGTTCGTCGAATGCCTGCTGTTGCTCCTCGGCCCATTCGAACTTCTCGGCGTCCTTCGTGAGATTCGTAAGTGGTGCGGAAATCCTTGCGAAATCCCGAACGAAGCGTCGATAATAGGCACAAAGTCCAAGGAATCTTCGCACGGCCTTCTTATCTGTCGGCGCTGGAAATGCCGCGACGGCGCGAGTCTTCTCGGGGTCTGGGCGGACGCCTTCGTTACTAACCACGTGGCCAAGGAACTTCAGTTCGTCATAGGCGAACCGGCACTTTGACGGCTTGAGTGTGAGTCCGGCGGCCTGAATGGCTTGAAGAACAGCTCGGAGTCGTCTCAAGTGCTCGTCGAAGTCAGCTGAAAATACTACGACGTCGTCAAGGTAGACGAGACAACTCTGCCACTTCAGCCCTGCCAGTACGGTGTCCAGGACACGCTGGAAAGTTGCTGGCGCCGTGCATAGTCCGAAGGGCATCACCTTGAACTCGTACAGTCCATCCGGCGTGACGAAGATTGTCTTCTCTCGGTCCCGTTCGTCGACCTCGATTTGCCAGTAGCCGCTCTTCAGGTCCATCGATGAAAAGTATCAAGAGCGGCGCAGCCGGTCTAGGGTATCGTCGATGCGGGGGAGTGGGTAGACGTCTTTCTTCGTAACCGTGTTGAGCTGCCGGTAGTCCACGCAGAACCGAAGAGTTCCGTCCTTTTTCTTAACCAGCACGACTGGAGAGGCCCCTGGACTGCTTGAAGGTTGAATTATGTCGTCATTCAGCATCTCTTGAACTTGCTGATGGATCACCTCCCTTTCCTTAGCGGAGACTGTACGGCGATCGATGCACAGGGCGCGCGTTGTCCTCGGTAATGATGCGGTGTTTCGCGACGGCGGTTTGGCGCACCCTCGACGACGTCGCGAAGCAGACACTGTATTCGGCGAGGAGGTCACTTAGCTGCCGTCGTTTCGGGCTCGGAAGCTTAGGGTCAGTGTCGAGCTGCGCTGGCGACGGACTGTCTTGCTGAGGTGGCGAGGTTTCGTCAGTAATCGTGGCGATTTCAGCGGCGTTTCGAAGTTCCTCGACGTGGCCCACGGCTGCACCTTTCGTGAGGTGTTGCGTTTCTTTTCGGAAGTTCGTCACGAGGACCACAGTCCGCCCATCCTGAAGTTCAGCTACTCCTCTTGCGACGCCTATTCCTCTTCCCAGGAGCAATTGAAGGTTGCCTTCTAGGACAACTTCGCTGCAGGCAGCTGTATCGGCCACGACGGGTACGACAACACTTGATCGTGGCGGCAGGTTCTCGTGGTCGGTGGCGACTCGGACGGCGGCTGACCCTGTTTGGGGTTTCTCCGAGGGCGGAACAGGCTTCCGCAGCGTCAGTCTGTTCTCACCCAGGTCAATGACGGCGCCGTATTCACACAGAAAGTCCATGCCAAGAATGACATCTCTGGAACAGTCTTGTAGAACGATGAACTTTACCGGACACGTCTCGCCGTGAATCTCGACGCGAGCAGTGCACCTTCCGACGAACGTGATGAGATGTCCTCCTGCGGTTCGTATTTGGGGTCCATCCCACGGCGTCATGACTTTGCGAAGGCAACGGGAGAGCCTCCCACCGAAGACTGAGTAGTCTGCTCCCGTGTCCACGAGTGCTGATGCGTTGTGGCCGTCGATGACGACGTTTGGGTTATTGGACACCGTTGCAGGGGCGTCGTTTTGGTCTCTGGTAGCGCTCGAGTGGGGGCCCTCCGACGTTTGTGGAGGATCTTGGCGTCGGTCGTCTTCGGCAACTCCACCTCCAGGGGTTGCCGCGCCTAGTTTTCCCGGCGAGGAGCGAGGGGTGACAGGCTTTCACGTCGGGGTCGGTGCATCGGTGAAGCTGGACGTCGTGGCGACGGCGACCGGAATTCTCGGCGGGACGCGGGCTCGGGGGACTGAGGTCGTCGCAGGTACTCGGCGATCTCCCGAGGTCGTTCACCATAACGAGGGCGCGGGCTGCGCGGGTGGAACCCGCGCAGCCCGAGTCGTCGGTATGGGCATCGGCGGTAGGTGTGGTCCGCTTCCCCGCAGTGGAAGCACAGAGGGCGTCGGTCGGGCGTTCGCCACACGTCGGTCTTCCGGGGTACGCGGGGCTCCGTGCAGGCGTACTAGACTTGATCGTCGTGGCGTCGGTTGTGCTGCGGCGCAGGAGAGTGACGTCGGGGCGGTGCGACATAGGCGCGAGTAGGAGGTGGTGGCCGTCGGGCCACTGCGGCGTAAGTTAGCGTGGGTTTTTCGGGGACTGCCCCGCTGATGGGAGCCTCTGGTTGGATGGCTCTCTGCACTTCTTCCCGCACGACCTCGGCGATGGAGATCGAGGCGGGGCGATCAGTGTCGGGTACAATTTTCCGGAGCTCTTCCCGGATGATGTCCCGGACAATTTCACGAAGGTTGTCAGCGCGGATGCGGCCCTCGTCGATCCGGGAAGATGCCAGCGTCGAAGCAACAGGCGTGTCGGGGAGTCGGTTGTAGTGGCTGGCTCGGGCTTACAGGGCACGCTCGATGTTCGTTGCCTCGGCGACAAAATCTACGACAGTCGTCGGAGGGCTGCGGACAAGGCCACCAAAGATGTTTTCTCTCACGCCCCGCATGAGGAATCGTAGCTTCTTCTCTTCTGTAGCCCGAGGGCCGGCGCGGGCGCTCAGGCGCAGGACGTCCTCTACGAAGCCGGTGCAACTCTCGTTGGGGCCCTGGGTTCTGGTTCGCAGTAGGGCCTCGGCTCTCTCTCGGCGGTGGTGGTTTATGAAGGTAGCCTTGAGGTCGGTCTTGAATATGTCCCACGACGTCAGGGAGGACTCATGATTCTCGTAACAGTGCTTTGCGGTCCCCTCGAGCGAAAAATAGACATTGTGCAGGCGCTGCTCGTCGGTCCAGCAATTGTAGCGGGCGACGCGTTCATACTGGTCAATCCAGTCTTCGACGTCTTCGTACTGCTCGCCGTGGAATGGAGCCGGTGTCCGAGGAGCGACGGGTAGGTAAACGACGCCAGGAGCGGTGGGGGTCTGCGACTGGTTGGCCATCGTCGGCTGCCTGGTCCTGGGTGGTAAAAGTCCGTATTCCCGGTGTAGCCCTTGGGTGCGGCGACTTGATCGAGTCTCGATCTGGTCTTCGTTGGGTCCTCGGGAGCTTGGGTTCGGACTTGTACTGCGGGAACTTGGAGGGCTGCGCTGCACGGACATGCGGTACCCCGCACCTCCAACAAAATGTCACGGGTGGTGACCAATAAGTAAGAAATAAACAGGAAGAAATAAACGTTTAATGTGGCGAACTTGTGCCAAAAAAATAAAAGGGTACAAAAAATAATAACAGAGCGTCGCGGGCGTCGAAGTCGGCGTAGCAGCAGAGTCGGACGCTGGGGCGAAACTGGCTCCGGCTTGCCCGCGGAGCCGCTTTTGTACACCCGTTGGCTTCTGGAGCATTCGACGTAGAAGGTTCGACGCGTAGAACATTCTGACCTCGAATCAGCTCGACGGTTCTCGATTTCACCACAACATCACATTACAGTGTTAACAAAAATGCATAGCCGCGGCCAGGAATCGAACCCTGGCCCTTCGCGTGGGAGGCAAGCGCGATAACCGTTAGGCTACGGCCGCTTTTTTTTTTTTTTTTTTTTTACATTTTATTTAAAACACACATTATTTACAGGGTTAAAAGCCTCACGGCACTGTCCGCTTGTTTGACCGTTTGACTCACATTAAAGGGCAGCGTAGGAACTTCGCAGGATTCAACCCCACACAGTACAGCTCCTTACGAATATTAGTGCACCCTTACAGGCCACTCTGCCATTTTCTACTGTACTCGCAATAAAGGGGCAACCTTCTAGCGCCTTTGCAAACGCGCTTTCCACGCTGTCCAGCATTCCAAGCCTGGTTGTTGCGTTACCTCTATAATCGAGTCGACATACATAAAACCCTCGACAAAGTGCCGCCAAGCTGGCTTTGCTCCTTCCACTACAAACAAGTGATCATTCCGCGAGTTCCATAAGGCATGCAATCCAAGAAGAGCGAGAACTTCCCAGGCTCTGCTTTTCAGACCTGAGCCGAACTCCAAGTATTTGACCTTTTTCCAGTCCATGTAGAGATCTGTCCGCAACACCGCTCGAAGCTCGGCCCAAAACAGCTCGGCATTCGTACAGTACAAGAATACGTGCTCCAGTGTTTCTGGAACCGGACAAAGTGCACAATTTGTAGACCAAGGTTCAAAAAACCCTTTTTTTACTAACCAAGTCTTCACAGGGAGTACCTCCCAATGCAGGCGGAGGAAAAAATTCTTTGACCCCATTTTAACTGGATAGCGTCGAAGACGCTGGAAAACATCAGACTTGCACACACCTTCTGCACTAATGCGATACAATGGAGGCGGCGTCATTGATTCTAGCGTATCCCAGTACAATCTTTTCCTTTTAACCTTCTCGAGATACTCCCTTGAAAACCTCGCTTCGAAAAACTGTATAGCATCCGCTATTTCTTTGTAAAATTTAAGCACGCGTGAACGGGCGACTCCTGTTGCACCTTCAAGCCAGAGATTCAAACATGCCCCTCCAAGTTCTCTGAATGCCGACAAAATGAAAGCGCTTTTATGATCCCTAAAGAACAAGAAGCGGTGCACTCGAAGCTTCAGCTCAACATTTACTAATCCGAGCCCGCCCTTCTTCTGACTTAAGAACAGGTTATTTCGTCGCATGCGCTCAAAATTTGACTCCCAGACAAAGGTTGCAAACAATCGATGCACTTTTGCAATGTCAAGAGATGCGCACGGCACCACTTGTGCCGTATACCATGCAGTCGGAAAGAAAACAGAGTTACAAATGCGTGCCCGATGCATTAACGAAATATATCTGCCGTTACAGTCTGCCGCTTTGAATTTAAGGCGATTTAAGTCCACTCCGCCTCGGCCCGTACTCAGCTGTTCGACGTCTAAACAAACTCCCAGATAACTAGACACCTTGGACGTCCACGGGATGCCAAGAAAGCGCTCTGGCTTCGTGTCCCAGCCACCTAGCCAGGCACCAGCCGACTTTTCCGGGTTCATTTGCGCACCGGAGACGTTGCAGAAGTTCCTAATATGCTGCACCACAGCCTTCACCTGAGTTGCCGACGAACACACCACTGCCACATCGTCGGCGTACGCCAGGAGTTTAAGTGAGCCTGAGGACAGCACCAAACCACTGATGCTCGCATCGCGAACAATTGCTCTGCAGAGTGGCTCCAGGTACAGTGCGAATAAGATTGGCGAGAGTGGACAGCCCTGCCTCACTGATCTGCTCACAGAAATGGGAGCGGTCTTGTTCCCGTTCACAATTAGACGCGTAGAGATATCGCGGTAGCACAGTTGCACATATCGCAGCAAGCGCGCACCAATCCCGCACGACTCCAGAAGAGAAAAAAGAAAAGAATGACACACTCTGTCAAAGGCTTTGCTCAGGTCAACCTGCAGCACTGCCAGCGGACACTGTAGCACCTCTGCCGTTTCGCACACTACACGCATTGCATGCAGGTTCGTTGCAATCGTTCTTCCTTTGATGCCGTAGGTCTGGTGGTCTCCAATGACGCTGCCAAGTCCTGACTCCAGCCGCTTCGCGAGAATCTTGGCCAGGATCTTGTAATCACAGGTTAACAGACTGATCGGTCGAAAGTGACCAACTCCAAGGGGTCCTGCGACGTTCTTCTTTGGAATTAGCACGGTAACTGCTTGACGCATCGAAGGCGGGAGCAGTCCCCGGCGCAGGATGTCGGCGAACACGTCCCGAAGAATCGGGGCCAGTTGCTTAGCGAAGGTTTTGTAAAAGAAGCTCCCAAGTCCGTCGACACCGGGTGATTTGCGAGGGGCCAACTCCTTGATGGCCCTCTCCACTTCAGCTGCCGTGATCTCTTGGTTGATTTTCTTTCTTATAGACTCTGAGACCTTTGGCAACAATCCTTTGTATATTTCAGATGTTTGCTCGTTTCCGTCCGCTGTAAACAGAGTGGTGTAAGCATTCACAAAGGCAGCCTCGATATCCTCTTGCCGCGTAACTGTGTCCTGGCCGACTTGTATAGGCTACGGCCGCGCTGCCTACTTGGCGCGCGGCAATACCAACAAATTGGAAGTTAAGATAGGATCCTATATACATATATTTTTTCACGTGAAAGTAAATTTGTCACATGGATGCTTAGACATCAAAATGCCGCTCTGTTATTGAGATGTAGCAAGACGGGTGCTCTTAGTAAATAAGCAATTTATATGTGCAATATACGTGTGCTCTTCAAAGCAGCACGTCACAAAATGGTAATTACGTGACCGCAAGTTGGTGCCCTGATCATCCAAATGAAACATGGCAGTAGGGCGGATCCCTGATGTCTGCAGCGCGGTGTTTCGCTGACAGTTATCCGCGCTTTCGATCGGCAACACAATTCAATACCGATTTTATCTTATCCATGTGTGTTGTATGTCAAGGGCATGACTCTTCCTTGGTCACAGGCAGACGTGAACTACTGGATTTTGCTTCGGGTAACCAACATTTTCCACTACAATCCTCTTCGATACTGTTAGGAGGGAGGGGGGGGGGGGCAAGTTTTTAAGTTGAAGCACTACAACTTCTTCACATATAATATATTTTGCTCTTATCCGTAGTTTATGCACTGCTGAGTACAAATGAGTGAAGGGCCGCCTTTTGGGAACGAATTAATTTAATACTTGTGCGGAAAAATAAGAAATGTTCCTGGCTTTCTGGAATTGTTTGTTTCTAGACAACATTAATTTTACCTGAAGTAGTTTTTTGGTAAATAAACTTTACTTTTATATTTGCCATAAACATTTGCCATAAACAGCCATAAACTTTATTGTCGTAGGATACAAACTCTATGTTTTATTTAGGCGTTGTGTTCATTTATTCGGAGAATTTCTTGCGTACAATTTGAAAGCTATGAGATGCAAAATTATTTTACATGTACTTTATTCCAGTGTTGTTTAAATACAGTTATTAAAATTATAATTTACATGTAATTTAAAATATTGGTCGAATTATTTTGTATTTTTGTTTTCATACATTTTGCAAGTATTAATGGACGAAGAGCGTGTTAGTGCGGGTCAAGATTGAAGAACGAACAAACATGTAGGACAAAGACAACACAACTACATCTTTCAAATATGTTGCCCATCGCTGGAACTGCGTGATACAGATACGGAAATCACCTGCATGGGAAGGTGCCAAATGACTAAAGATGTATTTAAGCAATTACTATTACGGAACATTGAATAAAATTGAAGCAAAGTCATGAATATCGGCGAAAGACTAAACATTTACATTGCCAGATTATGAAGGAAAACAAATTGTGCGGACGATCATGGGACGTGGTTCCAATGGACAGCGGCACCTGGGCGACGTTCTGATATTGTGTCATAATTCACTGAAAATTCCGGTAATGTCGCGTCGCGCGGTATCTAGGTAAACCTCAACCGATAAAACGCAGAACAGCTAGCACCAAGCCGTTTTCGCGAACTCGTTACACAAATTGCTTGATCCCATCAGCGTGTCCTCTTCCCACGGTAACCTTCTATTCAACATGCCGCTTCACGTTCACGCCCAGCATGATCTAGACGTTGAATTCGTTACATCCTAAGACCCAGGGTTAGACCGTCGGCGCCTACACATGGTCGACGTGTTCTCTCATGGGCGCGCTTAAGCCGTCGAGCAGCCGCTGCTTGCTCCGGCGTATGCTTCGGCCGCCCCATTCTTGCGCGCAAACGCTTACAGCGCCGAGGGAACGGGCGACCAAGGCGAAAAAGAGCAGGCGGCGATGAGGGCGATCACATGACCCCCAGCGCAATAGAGATTGGCCGAACGCCCTGCGCCCCAAACGCGACTATTATCAGCGAAAGAGTGAGGCTATCTTTATCGTACTCGTCCTCTCCCGGCGCTAAAGTCACCTGCAATAAACCCGACCACCATATTTTTTCTCGGCCACCCTATTTTGTACAGGTCTCTGAAACAATCAGTAAACAATACGCGCTCAGCGTATGGTGAAAACGCCGTCTAACACTTGTTATAGCCTCTGAATAAATACGGAACAAATATATATAATGAATTGCCAAGGGGGATTTTGGAAGTTGACAACCACTTCATTTCAAATGTAGCTGAAAGAGTACCTACATTAGTGACCACATGGCACGATGTCACCTTTTCTTTCTTGCTGCACAGGCAGTCGGGGATAGAAATATTTGAAGGTGTATGTTAATTTAGAAAGACAGTTATGAAAAATAAAATGTTCGATCTAAAAAACAAACCTGTCGTGTGTTTTCAGTATACAAACACTCGCGTGTCATATGCTGTCTTAGAAAAAAAAAACATTCCTTCCTATCGCAAGAACGATATGATAGTAGAAACGCAGGACATCCCAGCCTATATGCACGCACACATATGCGGTTTGCGGTACAAGCTGAAACAGAGTGACGATGTGGGCGAGTTGGTTCTTGTCTAAGCAAACGAAACAGAAGCAATATACTCCTTCCCTCTTGTTCTCGTTGTTTGGCGCGCTGTTTTATTTCTGCTTACACGAGATGAAAGGTGGTTGATGTACTCATCGCTACGTGAGGAAACTACGCTTTGCGCCTTTTTGTTTTCTTCTTCATTCGTACCTATTAAAATCAACGAAAACGGGCTCATCCAGGCTTTGTGAATCTAATACGCCCAAACCTATTCGCCCAAACCTCTATAAGCGTGTGCAGGATAACTCTGATTGCGCCCGTGACTCCAACAGCTCGGCACTGACAAAACGTGCGCGCTCACGTCAGGACTCCACCGCACGTGCTGGGTCATAGAATACCCGCGCAGGCTTCATTGGCATTCCCGGGGCCTTGCATCGGCTGCTCCTGCTACAACCGCGCTAGCCGAGGGGGTCCCATCCATCAGGGGAATCGATTAAAGACGGGACCTAATTACCCGGGAGGTGGCGTCCCGTTTCTACCCGGTCTCCCCGAAGCAGATTCTGCATGGCACGCGAACGTCTTGATAAATTTCCGTTGGGCAGGGATGCCCCATCCTCGATCAGGCTTTGAAATATGCCAGGAGCCCCATGCGATAGAGCTTGGAGCAAACAAGGATGTCTCATGTGAGCACTGAGGGAAACTGGAGCCCACCATTTGGTTTCCATTTTATTGTTTGCATGACTTTGCTTGTTGAGGAAATTATGTCAACGATCACGGTACAGTCTGAACATGGCTGCCGGGATTGCGGAATATCCGTGGTAGACATTCGACACGCAATTTCGGAACTAAATCAACAATGAAAATGAATTGAGAGTACATACTTTAGTTTCGGATTTAACGCGTTTCTTCTTTAGGCTAAAAAGATTTAAAAATATGCGTGCTGAATCTTTAATCAGCACATACCCAGTCTGCTAT